CTCTAAGATCTCATAGGTGCAACGAGAAGTCTGTTTCATTCACGTCTTTTATGCAAACAGCGCTGAGTAATCAGATTTGTTCTTCTTTCCAATATCTTTTCCATGATATTTTTTGCCATTTATCTTCTTATTTTTTGACTTTTTAACAATATATTTATGTCTATTTGGTTTTTTAATTAAGTTTCCACAATTATGATAATAGTTACTGCTACTGTAGTTGTAATCTTAATAGTAATTATTACCATTAGTATCATTATCATAGTTACTAATACTATTACTTTTATCATTACTATTAATTTTTGTCCCAGACGGGAACAATAATAGCGCATTGCAAATGTCGAAGGCTTTCATGGAAAATGAATACGGATGGGATCATGACTAATGGATTTTAGAGAAATTCTTTTTTTGCTTCTAATCAGTGCCGCACAAAATTCTTAGGATTATTTTTTAGACTTATTTGCTACCCTATTCAACAGCTATTCGAAGGAGCAATCAGAGACCTGAATCAGCGGAAGCGGATTCTACTAGTGCAGAAAATCGAGAATTTCCTACCCAGAATCGTGAAATACGGAGATCATTTTTCACTCCGTCTCGTGCCTACCATCAACTGAACGCGCAAGAAGTCTCAGCCGCACTTCAGCCTGAAAGTTCCACACTTCATAATCTGCCTCCACTTCAAATTCCAGAAACTATGGGAACAATGAGTGTGCAGTTCACTGAAGTTAGAACCGTCAATGATGAAACTGAGTACCTCTGTCGTTTCAACTATCCCACGGCCATGGAAGCTCTCGCACTAGTATATGGATGGACGGGGAAACGAAATAATGTTGCCCAACAGGCGCATCAGCAACGCAGTGACATGGTACTTCACATTTTATTACAAAAAAAAAATCTAACTATTGGTTAAAAGGCTTAAATTTAACAATCGTTGTTCACTCTTTTAACGAGCAGAAAGTCATGTGCTTAAATCTTGTCCCACGTGTTATCCTGTTTCTTAGTAATATCACGTGGGATAAGATTTAAGTACATGACTTTCTGCTCGTTAAAAGAGTGAACAACGATTGTTAAATTTAAGCCTTTTAACCAATAGTTAGATTTTTTTTTTTTTTAAACCGCCTGGAACGATAACGAGGATAATCCACTGGCTTGGATTATCCTCGTTATCGTTCCAGGCGATTTTAGTTAGGTAATATTTCGTACGTCGTAAGCTCTGGCGTATGAATTTTCTCAAAAAGATGTAGTAAATATATAGTGTAATGTATAATGGATAGCATGCCATAATTCGAGAGATACGAAGATAGTGAAAATGAATTTCTCTTCCATTCTTTGCAAAAAATAGCTCCTTTTGTAACGATTATTTTTCAGCAATGTGTGAACGAAAGCGGAAACACTGCAACGTTTTCTGTAGCTGGGCCATCAAAAAGACTTTTCGAGCAAAATCTGAACAAAGAAAGTACTGCCGGAACCTTTAACGCACAGGAAGCAGCTAATGAGTCTTCAAAGAGGTAAGAAACTTCACCGCCGTATTTTTGTCGTTAGAACTGGGACTAGGCCAGAAGAAAAAGCGGAATCGGAATTTAATGCCGAATGAATGCTTCTCAGATGCTATTTGCTGTTAATAAAAGAGCTGTTTTTACAGGCTGCGAACAAACATCCTACAATCCATACTTTCCGGAAGATACGGTGAAATGGAAAATGTCGAAGCTATGCAACAACAAGGTTTCCATTTTTATCGAAAAATCCTTTTCAGAGATTCCTCTTTCACTGACTATACCTGTTCTGACCTATCCCATTTTCAGTCTTAACCTATTTTTTACAGCTTTGGTCTACTATTACAATTCTTTAAGAATATTCCAGTTAAGCTTCATTACATGTATTATGCATGTTTGCTTGGTCTCTTGAGATTCATTCAAACCCCAATAGACACCATTTGTTCATAAGTGGGTAGTGGTGTGCGACAAAGTAGTTTAAAAATTTCAGGCAGCTTAATGATGCTGCACACGCCTGAGGTATCTAAAAACAGTTGAGCTTTGACAAACGATTCATGGGGGGATCGTTGACAGCATTTTTCAAAACAGCTATGGAAATAAGAAAAAGCCTCAGTCCCGAGCAACCTCTAGCCGTTCTGATGATGTAGATAGTGAGGGAACTGATGAATTGGCGAACAGAGGAAAGCAAAAGATCCTGATCGATGAGCAAATAGCTGGCTGCAGGTATGAAGGACCAACTGTGGAC